GGGGGCTCATCAGCATCCGGGGAAATCTCATGTCTGAGGTTCCCAAGGTGCCTGAAGAACGTCGGGGATGGGGCAGGGAGGCAGCCTGGAGCCCAGGCTGGATTCCTGGGTGCAGAGTTTTGGAACAACCCCCCCTGCTCACCTCACCTACGGCCTCACTGTCTTTATAGTGCCGGGGCTTCCCCAGGGCACTTAACTAGAAAATGTAGGGTTCACAGGTTTGTGAAGGAAATGGCATTCTYTGACCAAAGTTAGAGCTTAGAAATGAATAAGGTCCCGTAGATCAGAGGACCGGATGGTGGACCGGGGCCAGAGAGCTTGCGTCTCAGTCTCTCTCAATTGTGATGCTGCCGATTAGCTGGCCATGAACAAGCCTTGCTCCCCATCTCTGAAATGCCCCCATTTGTGAAAAACTGGGTGGACCAGCCCAGGTCTTCTCTCTAAGCTGGTGAAACTTATCCTGGAAAAATCCTTAAGTGTGCACCCAAGCTGGAGAGAGATTTTCATTTTACTTTGAAAAAATATATTAAAAATACAAAAGAATGAAATATTGGCAAAGACTTATGTGGTCTTCACCCTGAATTGGAAGATGTTAATGTTTTGTCATATTTTAATCAAATCTCTGGATAATTCGAAAGGATATTTTCCAGGTAGAGTTCGAATACTTTTTGATTCTCACATTTTGATTGCTATAGCCTTTACCCTTCCCTGAGGAACCACGATAATGAATTTGGTGTCTCCTTCTAGTACATTCTTTTGTATGTTTTTCCTGCTTGCAGTTCATTGAGCTTCATGGATTTATATGTTTTTATATATGTGTATGTGTGTGTGTGTGTGTGTGTGTGTGTGTGTGTATGTATTTTTAAAATCTAATCTGGACATTTAAAGCCATGATTTATTCAAAATTTTTTCTTCCTTAATCTCCCTACCATCTCCTTTCATTACAACAGACACCGACATGTTAGATCACTTGATAGTGTCCCTGAGTTTTTGTGGGGTTTTTTTGCCTTTAGCCATTTTTCTTTCCACTTAGTATTTTCTATTACCCTGTCCTTAAGTTTGCTGATCTTTTCTTCTGTAGTATCTTATCAGATGTTAGTCCATCTATTGATTCTTCATTTCATATATGTATTTTTTAGTTCCACAGTCACCATTTGAATCTTTTTCTTAGTTTCCTTTATTGAGATTCTTTGTTCCTTCATTAAACTTTCCTTGAAATCTTTGAATATATTTGTCATGGTAGTCTTTGTTGGCCAGTTCTAATATCTATACCCATTTGAGTCTTTTATTAATTGATTTTTATACTGATTATGGACCACATTTTTCTGCTTCTTTAKCTAATAATTTTTTTGTTGTGTGCTGGACAATATGTACTCTCTGTTGTCAAGTGCATGCTGTTGTCTTCCCCGACAGAGTATTGAGTTTTGTTCTACTAATTAGTTGGGGATCAGCTTAATCTTTTCAAAGCTTGTTTAAAGTTTTGTTGGGATGAATCTAAGGTAGCTCTTACTGTAGACTTATATTTGGCCTATTTCTATGGCCTGCTTTTCTGGAATTTCTACAAATGCTTAGGTGTTCAATAAAATCTACTTTGGGTATTAGAACTCATACATTCCCCCTATCCAGCCCTGTGTTATCAATGGTAGTTGTTCAAGTTCACAACTCCCCAGAAGTTCTCTCCACCCCTGAAAGTAAGGTTTTTTCCTTGCTTCCTGGAGTCTGTTCCATATGTGTGAAGTTTAGGACTCAGCCGAAGTCCTTGGTGATCCTTTCCTGCTCGGCTTCCTTTCCTCTGGTACTCCCTGAAGGAGGGAGACTCAAGTCCTGAAATATAGTTTTTACCTCCACAGTCCAGTAGGTATCTCTACATATAAAGTCAGGGTGATGGGAGGGCTCAAATCACTTGATTTACTCTCAGAGATAATGGTGATTTTTTTTTTTGGGGGGTACTGGGGATTGAACCCAGGGGTGCTTTACTTCAGAACCACATCCCCAGCCCTTATTATTTTTTTGAGACAGGGCCTCACTAAGTTGCTGAAGCTGGCCTCAAACTCTGGTCCTCCTGCCTCAGCCTCCCAAGTCTCTGGGATTACAGGTGTGCCCCACTGTGCCCAGCTAAATTTCATGTCTTATCTAGTTTTATATTTGTTTCTAGCAGGAGGGATAATCTACTACTAATTACTTAAGCATGGCCAGAAGTGGAAATCCCATTCTCTTACATGATTGTGCTCATATTTTTACACATTCCAAAAGCAATATGTAGTCGTAATATTTTCCATGAATTCCAAATTTTCACTTGAAAATTTCATATTATTCCACATCTTCATTCCATGCTGGCCAGGGTTAAAGGTCTACCCACGTTCCTGTATTCCTCCGTCCCTCAGATGAGTGTTTCTGGGTGTTAAGTGCAAAGCATTGTCCTTGGCACTGGGTGTGCAGTTGCACAAGGAAGAAAAGGTCCCTCTCTGTGGAGCCTGGAGTCCAGTGGGGGAGGTGGATAACGAGTGCACAGCGACATCCAACAGCAGAGTGTAGGGAGGGGAAGTGAAGCAGGGGATGGAGATGGGTGGGACTGGGGAGTGACCGGGTCTCAGAAGAGGTGAGGTCTGAGCACATCTGCCCTCAGGGAGGGTGTGAGCCAGGCAGATGTCCAGGAAGGGGGACCYAGTGCAGTGAAGGATCACCTGAGGGCGTTAGGTAGGGGCGGGACATGATCTCATTTAGGTCTTAGAAAGTTCTCTCTGGTTACTATAGAGAAGGGAGGTTGGGAGGCTGCAGGAGGCCACTGCAGTAATGCAAGCAGCAGATTACAGGGAACAATTGGCTTGGGCCAGGGATGTCCTATTTGGAACACAGTTGAAAGGCAGAGCCAGCAGGACCCTGTTGGGTGGGAGAAGAGTCAAGAACGATGCTCTGTGTTTTTGGCCTAAGGAAGTGGACAAATGAAATGTCATAAACTAAAATGGGGACAGTTTGGTGAAGAATGACTAACTCTGCTTTAGATGTGCTAACTGTGAAGCTGTCACGCAACTAAGGAAGATACTCTGCCTGCTGTTGGCTGGTGAGTCTGGAGTTCGGGTGGGAGATGGGACTGGAGGTGGAATTCAAGCATCATCCAGGTAGAGATGGTTTTTCAAGCCGTGGTGCCGGGTGAGACTTAAAAAGAGCGGTGGGCAGAGCCCAGGCCCTGGGAATTCCAGTACTTAAATATAAGGTCTTCCTTTAAAGGATCCTGCAAGAGAGACTGACACGAGGAGAACTAGGAGATTGTGGCACCCAGAGCCAGGGAAGGAGGGATCTACTGTTGAGGACGCTCAGTTCTTTCTTTTTGACTCCTGCATAGCATTCCATTACATGAACAATGAAGAGACATTTTTCTACCGCCCAGATTTATGGCAATGAATATTTSCAGTGAACGTTCTTGAACATGGTACCAACTTGAGCACATGTGGACAGGTTTCTCTTTGGACACTGGGAAGGGATGGAATCTCTAGATGATTAAGATACAACTTAAGGGGCTGGGGCTGTAGCTCAGTGRTAAAACGCTTGCCTCACATGTGTGAGGCACTGGGTTTGATCCTCAGCACCACATAAAAATAAATAAAGATACCATGTGTTCATCTACAACTAAATAAATATTTGAAAAAAAATTTTAAAGATACAACTTAACTTGCCCAGACAATGCCAATTGCTTCCCCAAATGAAGCTACTGGTGTCCATTCCTAACTTTAGGGTTCAAGAGACCCTGCTGCTTCACACCATCCCCAGCACTGGATATGAGAGATTTTGAAGATTCTTGCTAATCTCAGGAGTGAAAATATGCGTAACTGTTGCTTCCTTTCACATTTTCCTAAGTACTAGTGAGGTTGAGCCTCGCTGGGCCATTTGCATTTTCTCTTACCTGATCTGCCTGTTAATATCACTGCCCAGTCCTCTTCTTTTTGATTTATAAGATTTCTTCTTATATTCCAACTCTAAATCTTCGAGTGTTAAGTATATTGCAAATATTTACTCTCAGTCTGTGGGAAGTCTTAATTTTGCAGGGATGTGTGTTTGTGTGTACACACGTGCATGTCATCTGAAAGCTTTTGGTTTGGATGCAGTTGCATCTATTTTACATTTTGTGTGTTATGTATACAATCTTTTCCTATCCTGAGGCCATGAAGATACCTGTCTGTATTTCTCCTGATACCTTAAGTTTTGTTTTAACATATGCATGTTAATGTTAAGGCATCTGAAATTTATTCTGTGTGTGGCATGAGGTAGGGACTGGATTTTTTTACCCCCAATGGTGAAGTCACATGTCCTAACTTCTCTAATCTGTTCCTACTGGTGTGGATCGCTAACACCTCACCTCCAAGTTCCCACAGGGACATGGGTCTCTTTGGACTCTCTTTCCCTGTTCTACTTGTCATATCACCTATTCTTGTACTCATACCTATGAGTGATATTACTTAGTAAAAATGTTGATCTCTGGTAGGATAAGATGGGTTAAGTAAAGGGATGGAATACCTGCTTTTCTTTGAAGTTCTCCCTCTTTAAACAACTGTCAGTGTAGTTAAAACAGCACTGGATGAAGTYCCTGTCCAGAATGGATCTGTGGCATGGAGGGCGAGTGTACCCCGACTTCTCTGTGAGACTCTGGGTGTTTTACGGGTCGCCCTCATCTCCCCATACCCTGTGCTCACCTCCCGTGAGGTCTGAACTACAGGGCGGCTCTTCTGGGCCTGGGGCTGCTGTGGGTATTTTGTGACTGGGCCGTAGTAGTAGTACCGATTCCRCTGGTTCCTGCCGGCCTGACCGCAGGGACAGGTCTGGCGGGGTCTGGGGTTTCCTGTTGCCTCACCCTCACCGACACTGAGCCCCTGGATTCTAAAAATAAAAGCACCAGAAACCACTGAGACCTCGTGTAGCTGTGTTCAGGGTGCTCTGAGCGCTGGGGCCACCTGGGCCTGCTCCCCTCAGCCCTGCCTGAGCTCTGCCTTTGTCCCACCCTCCAGGTCGTCCCCCGCAGGGCCACACGCAGGACTCCTGCCGAGAGGATGAGCAAGTTCCTGAGGCATTTCACCGTGGTCGGGGATGACTACCACACCTGGAACATCAACTACAAGAAATGGGAGAACGAGGAGGAGGAGGAGGAGGAGGAACCGCCGCCCGTGCCAGCCTCAGGCGAGGAGGGTGGCACAGGGGATGCTGAGGCTGCACCCAGGTCGGCGCCCAAGCCTGCCCGCGACTTCAGGAGCATATTGAGGAAGCTCTTCAGCTCCCACAGATTTCAGGTAGGAGGGGCAAAGGCCCAGAGGCCCCAGGTGGGGAAGGGCCTCCTGTGGAAGTCACCAGGCCTGCAGGGAGGGACCTACCTCTGCCACTCCACTGCTCCTTCACAGATGCCCACCACGTGCCAGGAGCCCCAGGCTCACTGGGGTGCCATGGGCCCATCCCATGTTGTCAGGGAGGAAATAATCCTCATCAGCAGCAGGTGAATGGATAAACAAAATGTGGTCTACCYTCTATCCGAACTACAGGCTGAAGTTGAGCCCTGGGCGGGAATGAGGCTCTAACTCATGACACAAGGACCATCCTTAAGGCCAGGGCTCCGGGCCACGAGGTGTACAAAGCCATTGATAGGAAGCATCCAGAACAGGCAGATCCAGGTAGACAGAAAGCAAGTTGGTAGTGCTCAAGTGAGGGGGCAGGAGAGGGGAGTGGCTGCTGGGTGACAGGGGCTGGGTGACAGGAGCTAGTGAGTGGCCAGCTGCTCCTTTGGGACATACCTAACTCTGCCAAGCTGCTCCAATTTAAAAATGATCACTATAGCAATTTTTATACACACAAACACACACACACACACACACACACACACACACACACACACGAGTAAGACGGTAATCATTGGGGGCAGAAAAAAAATTCATCTGCAAATTCAGCAAACATTCTGCCTGATCTTGAGCAAGGCCGAAAGGGGGCCCTGTCTCCTGGGGCTCGAGAACAACACCCTCAGCCTCTTCTTGTGAAGTGAGGCCAAGAGTGTCTGCCAGGCTTGAAACCATGGCTGCCCTCCCGATGGGACCATGTGGAGGCAGGGAGGCCTGGGCCTCAAAGAAGAGCAGCGGGAACTGAGCTTTGTGGGGTCACAAGGACATTTTGATTTTGAAGGTCAAATGCAGGTTGAGTCTACTCAGCCCCAGAAACCCCACCCTCTGCTCTGAGGGGGGCAGGCTGGTGTCTGGAAGCACATTCTGGGTCCTGGGAGAATGTGGGGGTTCAGAGACGTCAAGGGAGTTCACAGCTCCTTGAAGGTCCAGGTCCCAAGGGAAGCATTTTAGGGACACTGTCGCAGACATCCTCCCTGGACCCTATCCCTCTGGAAGCAGAGAGGCAGGCAGCCCTGGCCTCTGCCATCACCCACCTGTTTTAGAGTAAAACAGAAACAAACGGTTTGGTCTTTATCTGATCCATTCTTGGGTGGCTCACAGAAGGGAAGCCACCCAGCGCCTGCTGCTCCTCAGCTCTGCTCTGTGGCTGTGACGGGAACAGAAACATGGTATTAACTTGTTGGGGTTGAAGTTCCAAACCCTCAATTTCAGGAGCTGAAGGAAGAAGCCAGCTTCCTTCCAGCTGCAAGGGGAGCCCTGGAGCCCTGGACCACCCCCTCAGGATGTTCCCTGCCTCCTGAATGGACCACTGGTCCACTCAGCCTGCTGGGGATCAGGACTCACCCGGAGCCAGGACCTCCACAGACACTATTGGGGAAAAGCCAACTGATAACTGTCACAAAATAAATCAAGATGTTTATTCAGTCATGTGACAGTTATTTAAAGAGCATCTACTGAATACAGCAGTGAACTTATCCCTGCCCTCACTGAAGRGGACCTGAGAGTCTGCAGATAGACAAGAATCACAGGGATAATAAGCCCAGGTAGAAGACCCCTGACAGGGGACAGAAGGGTCTCTGAGAAATCTTGGGAGGCCCAGGGCCTGATGGAGGACTGGAAATCAAAGGAGGTAACATGTCCCCCAACACTGGAGGGCTGAGCAGGAATGAGCCCTGTGGATGGAAGGGGGACGCTTTCCAAGTACAGGGGCCGTTTTTGCCAAGGGCACAAGCAGGGAAAGAGCCAAGTGCCTTGGAGGGGTTGCCAGGAGGCCGTGACTCACATGGTGAGCAGCGACCCTGCAGCAGCAGGAGGGGCGTGGCAGGCAGAGGGTTCTCTACAGGGTTGGGGTGCAAGCTCATCAGATGGGGAGAGGGGCTGTGGTGGGACAGGGTAGCCAGATGGAGTAGGGGACAGGAAATCAGGGGTGTTGCTCTCTGATRGTAGCATGCAAGAAGGTCCTGGAATCCCTTTCTTGGGTGGTTTGAGGTGGCCAAGGTGAGATGACAGCTACTGCTGTCCCTTCTCTCATGGGGTAGCTCACCTAGGAGAGAAGGTGGGTGGACCATGTCTCTGTGGAAGCCACCATGGGCGGTGCCCGCAGTGGGGAGCGTTGCTCTTACTCCTGCCTGTGGGYGGGAGAACTCTGCCCTGCACTCTCCTCTGTCCCACGCCACACTCCCCGGTCACCTGGGGGCAGAAGAGGTGGCCAACTCCACTTTCTCAGATTTGAAGCACCAGCTCATGGAGGCTCTACAGCACTGGAAGGTGCTGGTGTGGGGACCTGGGACAGCCACAGGCCTGGCCTGGCCCTGCAGGGGAGGGTTGGGGATTAAGGGCTTCTCCAGATTCTCTGCATTTTTCTCTATGACGTGGCTTCTTCCAGACAGTGCTGCCTGGTGAGCGGCAGATTAAGGGTTCACAGGAGCCAGGATTAGGGTCCAGGCATTATGGTTTTTCTTGGTCTTGAATCTTTCTCTCACTTTTGTTTCTGCTTTTTATAAACTCGGGTGAGATTCATATGAAATCAATCATTTTGAAGTAATTCTGTGGTGTTTTTAGTACAGTCAGTGTTATGTAGCCCACCACTCTCTAGTTCCAGAATGTTCTCCAAAGAGACCCTGTTCTTATTGAGCCATCACTTCCCAGTCTCCCCAAGGCCTTCTGTCTGCGCTGTCCCTCTGGACGAGCCTGTCTGGACACTGTGTGGAAGGAGGCATGCGATGCGTGGTCTCCCGTGTCTGGCCCCTTCACGTGGCATGATATAACACGTGCGGCCCTTCATTCCATTTTAGGGCTGAATACTGGATCTTAGGTCTAAATATCTGTGCCTGGCTTTTTTTTTTTTTTTTTAAGACTATAAGAACTCTCAGATCCCGTTGGTTCTAAAATAAAACCAAAGATTAAAAAAAAAAAAAAAAAAAAAAAAAGAAAAAGAAAGAAAAAGAAAATACCCGAGGCTTGAATCTTTACTAAGCTGCTGAATTTGGATGTGTGTGGAAACTTCCTTGCAGAGCCATTTGCCACATCATCAAGACATCATCAGACACTTTACTGCAACAACTAACTACAGGTAGAAATGGCCAAAAAGTTAAACAGTCCCTTCTTCATAGGCCCCAACTTGTTGAATTTCAATGTGAAACTGCCAGTTTACAGCAGATTACGTTTTAGAGGTCAAAATCAACGGATCTAACAGCGTGAGAGGCAAGGCCTGAGTTCTGGAATTTCTGAGGAAAGAGGGGTATCACACRGGGTCCCTTGGGGCTCCCCCACTGCTGCCATTTCCATAGCCACCATGGACTGTCAGAACCCTGTCAATGTACTCCTGCCATTAGTGGCCTCACCAGCAGCATCCCYGCTGCCATCAATGAGATAACCCCTTGCTCTGGCACCCACTGACCCTCTGTAGCAAGTCACAGAGCCCCACTCTGCCACTCAGCTCTTCCCAATTGTCCAGGAAACCCAGCCTGCTCTCCGTCCCCGACAAGCAGGAGCTGGTTTCTGTGTACAGTGGCATCACYGTCACCTGAAGAGTCGGCAGCCCCTGGAGTCCCCCCTTCCAGATCCCAGAGCCCTGAGGCGGGATGTGTCAGATGACTTCTTCAGTATATGTTCTGTGCACCCTGTGGCGACAGCAATCCCCAGAAATAGAAAAATGTAACTTTTAAAAAACGTTTGCCATCTGGGAGGTGGAACTTGGTCTGAGCCAGCGCAGGGAAAAGGTGAAGGAGCAAGGAAGARCCTGGTGTCGTCGAGGGGCAGTGAGTCAGCGGCAGAGAGAGGTTGGGGAGAGAGGTGGTGGGCAGGTGGCAGCTTGTGACTGTGGGGACCTGCCCCTGCAGGCTCCCTCCAGGAAGGTATTGGCAGTGGCTCTCCCTCCTCGGCACCTGTACCTGGTGGTCTCACTGATGTTTCCAGGCAGCTCCTAAGGGTGGGAGGAGGGCCCTGTTTCAGGCTCACACTTTCTGTCCCCCCACTGCCCAYAGGTCGTCATCATCTGCCTGGTCATTCTGGACGCTCTCCTGGTGCTCGCTGAACTCATTCTGGACCTGAAGATCATCCAGCCTGACAAGAACAACTATGTGCCCAAGGTAGCTTGTCCCCGCTCTCTGGGGTGCTCCTGATGTGGGTCACTTCTGTTATCTGCACTGGGGGCAGAGGGGGCGGCTACCACCCCGCTTGGAGCCACAGGGCTTGCTGGGAAGTAGTTTAGGTGTTTTAGTCAATGGCTGGAGAAGAGGCCTGCCTTTCCGAATTTGAGAGAGAAGCATTTAGTACGAGGAGGAAGCTCATTTCACTGAAGCTCGCCAGAGCCAGTCACTGGTTGCAGGCCTATGTAATCAGGGACATGAGGCACACACGTTCCTCTCCCAGGGGCAGGAGTGTCGTTTTCCTCCTGTCTTCTGTTGGTGTTTTCCTGGTCCCTTCAGTGACATCCACTAAAGGCTGAGCCCGACCCAGATGTTCACCCAACAGGCAGTGGAAACACAGGAGGAAATCCAAGCCTCAGAGGCATCTCCCCATGTGCTTTGTGGGGGAAAAATGGAATCCCTATTAAATGCCTATCTTTATAAATAGTAAAAGGGCAGAGGCAACTCTGTTCTGTTGTCACCTATGCCGGCCTGGTCTGCAAGGAAGGAGGAGTACCTTTTTTTTTTTTTAAACATTTATTTTTTGGTTTTAGGTGGAACAATATCTTTATTTTTAAAAAAATTTAAATATTTATTTTTTAGTTTTAGGTGSATACAATATCTTCATTTTATTTTTATGTGGTGCTGAGGATCAAGCCCAGTGCCTCACACGTGCTAAGYGAGCACTCGACCATTTGAGCCACAACCCTAGCCCCCACAATATCTTTTACTTTTATGTGGTGCTTAGGATYGAACCCAGTGCCTCACGCATCCCTGACGAGCGCGCTACCACTGAGCCACATCCCCAGCCCGAGGAGTACCTTCTCTCGCCCACTTTCTGGCTTTTGTTTTTGGGTTTTTTTGATTTTGTTTGTTTTTGTGCCAGGGATTGAAGTCAGGGGCATTGAACCACTGAGCCACATCCCAGCCTTTTAAAAAATATTTTATTTAGAGACAGAGTCTCTCTGAGTTGCCTAGCACCTCGCTTTTGCTGAGGCTGGCTTTGAACTGGAGATTCTCCTGCCTCAGCCTCCCAAGCTGATGGGATCAYAAGCGTGCATCACCTTGCTCAGTTCTCCCACTTTCTTAATAGAATCAATAACATATCTGCCATACTGTCTTTTCCCAATGCTTTTTAATTATGAAAAATAGCCAATACGCAATTTCCTTCATCAGTATACATCCACAMGGGCACAGGTATTTCTGCCTGGCCATTTGAAAATAAGTCACAGATGTAGCGACACTTCCCCCTTGAACACTTCAGCAGTGTAGGAATAAGGTCTTTCACCTGCAGAACCGTCAGACCCGATTCAGTGGTCAGCAGATATATCATCACCACTTTGAATCTCCTCGCTTGTCCCAAGATGTCCTCTGTAACATAGAGCCAGCGCTCGGCCTTTTCCCCTCCTCATGATACCAAGTTTTTGAATTGTCCAGTCAGTTGTCCTGTAGGCTGTCAGAGGTTCTAGGTTAGTCTGGATAAATCCGGACAAAGAGACCCATTAGTTGGTTCCCTAGAAACAGAGGYTCCGTCAGGAAGTGTTCTCGTGGGACATGTTCTTTATGTGGCGCCTTCAGGAGTGCCACATAAAGTTGGGTCTCCCACTCAGCGATACTCAGCTACATCTTTCAATTTAAGCAGCAAATGCTGTACCATACTACTGTCCAGGGACATGTGTCCCTTTGCAGTTATAAATAGCCTGCCTAGTGATACTTTGGTACGACACAAATGTCCCCTTCCCTAGAGGCATGATCCTTGCCCGAGCAGTGAACACTGAGGGGTACAGAATGTGATTTTCTGGTTCCTTCTCTCCCCCACCCTTAGTAATGGCCACCCTTCCATAACCAGATGCTGTCTTTGAAGCCTGTGTGCCTGCCCCGCCGTGGACCTGAGATTTTAATTTTTTATTCCGTGTATTAGTCAATCTCRGTCAGCCTTTCTGATGTTCAAATTGTCCCAAATTTGGCAGCTGTGAGCCTCTTCAGGCTGACTACTATGTCCTTTTGACATGACGCCCTTAAGCCTGTGCATGTCCTTCCTGGCACACGGAGCCCAGCTCACTTACTRTGTCCTCTGCTCCAGAGCCAGAGGTTGTTTCCCTAGTGAGGTGTTCATAACTGAAATCTGGGGACCCTCTTCACTTGCTCCCACCATGGTGGTCTTTCCAGGTGGGCACATGTGGGTGGCTCTACCCAGGCCCTAACAGTGGAGCAGGATGTCTATGGAGTGCCATGAGAACTTGCTGGGTGGTTCCAATGACGCTGACATTGTTCACAGACAAGGCAAAGATCGCAGGTTCTGCGAACCACTGCTGTAAACACCCCATGACATGTCTTGGGCACGCACAAGCTTTGCCCTGGGGTGTGTCCCTAGCGGTGGGGCTGCCAGGCTGCCGGGGGTGGGGGAGTGGACTCTGAATTCTGGCATTGCCCACCTGCCATGCCAGTGACCCTTAGCACAGCACCTGAGCTGGGAGTTCGGTATTTGTCCAGTGAATTCTCCCTCTGGTAACTAGCAGGGGTACTCAAGGTCAGTCTCTGTGACCTGCCCTGTGGCCCATGGCACCATCTCCTGACTGTGGCTCTTCCTCCCCTCCAGGTGTTCCACTACATGAGCATCGCCATCTTGACCTTCTTTATGATGGAGATTTTCTTTAAAATCTTCGTCTTCCGCCTGGAATTCTTTCACCACAAGTTTGAGATCCTGGATGCTGTCGTGGTGGTGGTCTCCTTCATCCTCGACATAGTCCTCCTGTTCCGGGAGCATGACTTTGAGGCTCTGGGCTTGTTGATCCTGCTCCGGCTATGGCGGGTGGCCCGGATCATCAATGGTAGGTACCCAGCACTCTTGGGTTGCAGAGGGCACAGGACAGAGGGTGCCAAGGCCAGCTGTTTAGTCACCCCAGGAGCCTGAGCTCACATACACATAGTCTCCATCACAGTCACTGCCTCCTCCCAGAAGTCCAGAAAAGCATGGGGCAGGATGCGACTTGGCCACTGACTGCCACCTCAGAGGCCAGAGTGAGACCAGAACACCTGCTCTGGGAACCACCTCTCTCCTTCGGGCTGTTTTCATGATTATCAAAAGATATTGGGACTACAACTCAGTTGGCAGAGTGCTTGCCTYGCATGCACAAGGCCCTGGGTCCAATCCCCAGCACCACACACACAAAAAAGGTTCATGGATATCCATGGAACCGGGCATGATGGCACACACCTGTAATCCCAGCAGCTCAGGAGGCTGAGGCAGGAGGAACATGAGTTCAAAGCCAGCCTCAGCAAAAGCGAGGTGTTAAGCAACTCAGTGAGACCCAGTCTCTAAATGAAATACAAACTAGGGCTGGGGATGTGGCTCAGTGGCCCCCAAGTTCAACGGTACCACCCCAAAAGATTGATTCATGGAAAGGGTTAGGCTAAGGCCCAGGGAATCTCTCCAGGCTTTTCCCAGGGCATCTCGGTTCTAAACTGGGTGTCTCCTAAGAGGAGCCTACCCCAGCCAGGCCACCCAGGAGGCACCATCCAGCAGGGATGCAGGAATTGAGCTCTGAGGAGGACACAGCATGTGGTAGCCTCTGAGTGGTGTTGATGACCCACCAGAGACCCAGAGACGGGCTCTGGGAGCTCAAGGAGCCGCTCTGTGCCTGTCTCGAGAAGAGCCCTCTCCCCGCACACCCCGTGCACAGGTGCTCTAGGCCAAGGGATTTTACTTGGAGAGTGACCACAGCTGGCCGGTTGCTTAATGGCCTGCCTGTGTACCTGCCATAGTGGTCACCTTCAGACCTTTTTAAAACAGTCTGCAGCAGAAGGCCTGATAAGYTTGGGCGTAGGTCTACCTCGGAAGCCCTCCAGGTGTCCAGCCAGGGTTTGGAAATCCCTGAACGGATGGGCCATGGTTCAGGGCGCTAAGGGAGGCACAGGCCCTCTGCGTGGAGCCGCTTCCCTTGGTGGCCTGGTGAGTCCTGTATGGCCACAGCCCCCTGAGCTCCAGCAGGACCTGCAGGGAAACTGGCTGCAGCAGATGTGGGCGGGGTGGGAGCGACTGGTCACCAGCAAGTGTAGATTTAGCGTTGAGAGCAAATCCCGGGAAGGACAGAGCCTGGATTCTGTCCAGGGGAAGAGTGGAGGCTTGGTCATCACTGCTTCTGCTGAGGGTTGACCATTAGTGTGGCCAGCCTGGGGCTCCTATGGCATGTCGGCACCCACTGCCATGGACCAGGGCCACTGTCCTGGACAGGTTCAAGGAGCTTCATGGTTATGGCTATTTTAAAAGAGCTCTCAGCCACATGAGCCGAGGAGACACCACACACCTGGAGGCTCCCAAGGGAACACCCGGCCCTCCTAGTTCGGAGACCACTCTGTGATGACTGCCACTGTCATTCTTCCCAACTCTATACACRTAGAAATCACTTCCCCACCCCCCAGTGGTTAAACTAGAATCCCGTGACTCCCCATTTTCAGGGATAATCATCTCCGTCAAGACACGTTCAGAACGGCAGCTCTTAAGGTTAAAACAGATGAATATTCAGCTGGTCGCCAAAATCCAACACCTTGAATTTAGCTGCTCTGAGAAGGTAAGACCTGGGGACAACATCCACTTGCAGTTCCCACCTCGGCATGGTGCTTCTGCTCCTGGGGAGCCTGGGCCGGGGGCACCCTTCCCTCGMGTGTTCCCATCCTTTCAGATTCGGCTCGGCCACCCCTGCCCTGAGCCACCCGCCTGCTGCTGTCACTGCTGCAGCTTGGGGACCCCCCTGACTCTGGCAGTCGCCTCAGTAGCCTGAATTCCACAAGGAGTGTAGCTCCCATTCGTATCTGTGTCCCTGGGCCTGGGGCTCACTGGCTCTTTGTCACATCCCTACAGAGGCTCAGAAAGTCCCTCTGTCTGCTTTTGCAACAGGAACAAGAAATTGAAAGACTCAACAAGCTCCTGAGGCAGCACGGGCTTCTCGGCGAGGTGAATTAGACTCCCCCAGCCCGGCCCCAGAGAGGACCCTGCCTCCCTGGGCTGGCCGTGCCCAAGAGTGACCACCTTGCCGGGTCACGTGGTGAGGGGGCTTGGGTCAGTGCCTCGCCCATGGGTCCCACCAGGGCTGTGTTGGACGCAACCACCGGAGGCCGTTCTTCCTCGGTATGATCCAAGAGTTGCCACCCTGCCACGCACAGCAGCCGGATCAGACTGTTTCCTCATGTAGGACACTGCACTCTTGGCTTAAATATGACACGCTGGATGATGACTAATTGTATATAAAATTTATTCCCATCTCATGTACAGTTTTCAAATTTCACGTGATTATACTGGGACTGGCACATCCTTTCACTCTGAAAGAAAAAGAAAAGCAGCCGCCTTAGCCTCCAGCCCGTCTGAGAAAGGCCCCTTTTATTCCCACGCCGTTCTAAAGTCTTCTGCTGTCACCATGGGGATGTCATTCCAGGTACCCAGGACCCTCCTCTGCAGTATCCAGCGTTCTGCCACCTGACAGCACCGTTCTCAATGACCTACAATTAACRTATAGAATAACCTCTCCCCTGAGCCGCCTCCCTGCCCTGCCCGCCCCGGGGCCTCCCACGCAGCCCACCAGCTGGAGAGCCAGCTCCAGCAGGGCCTGGTGCAGGGTGGCAATTAGACCCAAGGCTGCCCTGTAATTCACATGATCTCTTAAGAGTCCCTCGTGAGGCTCTGCACCCGACTTGCATGATTTTATACAGTATTTTGCTATTTTTGTACTTAGCTCAATAGGACTTGAAAGAAAACCTAAGCTAGAAACAATGAACATTTTAAAAATAACTCTCATTAAAGCAGGGCTGGATGAACTGGAGAGATCCCCGAGTGGGCTGCTGCAAGGGCTGTTTTTTCCACAGCCCCGGCCCCCAAGACCACTTCCATCTATGACCAACTCTAAATCCAAACCAAGCAGAATGAAACTTCCAGAAGGGGACAAGAAAGCTGGAGGCTGGCCCGGGGCAGCGAGTTGGTGCGGGGGCAACACCAAGGCGTGGGAAGCGTGAGGAAGTRGGACGCCTCTGAGGGACTTGCGGCCCCACGTGCACTTGTTCCAGAGGAGAAGACCTCAGACCGAGGTGGGGCTCGGTTTCCTCCAGGGACCACTTACGTCAAGCAAATGGGAAGAAGAAGTTAAAGGGCAGCCTGGCGTTGATGGCTGGCCGCGCTCTGAAGCCCGGCTCTGCAGGTGCAGACACAGCCGCAAAAGTAACCGCAGTGGAAATGAGAACCGTCCTTTCATTTCCGGCGCTGGTCTGTAATAAAGAGWCAGAAGCAAGACCCCCCTCCAGTGTGTGGCCAGGACAAAACGAGACCTCTTTCCTCCTCTTCCTCACGCCATGACTCCTGTCAGTTCATGAAGATGACAGTTCACTGGGGTCCCTCGGCCACTGCCTCGGCTGACAGGCAGCGTTTACCCCGGCTGTCCTCACCTGACACACCACGATCAACAATCCATTTTCATGAGGGTTTTAAAGATTAAATCTAGGGGCTGGGGTTGTGGCTCAAGTGGTAGCACACTCGCCTGGCATGCATGAGGCACTGGGTTCGATCCTCAGCACCACAGAAAAATAAAGATATTATGTCCACCTTAAAAATAATTATATATAAAAAAAGATTAAATCTAAACAAGACTGTTAATGTAAATAAAACCTTTGTCAGTGGGTTTCTCCCTCTAAGTAAATAACCACAGCAAAATTGTTTTAACAATCCAGATTGTTTAAAAGCTAATCTCTTTTTACCAACTAATAAATGTTACCTGTCATACTTGAGTTTTGTCTGGATTTGTCTTAAACTCTCTTCTGTTGTGTCCTGCTTTGCAGGGCTGGGCATCACAGCCAGGGCCTCCCGCAGGCTAGGCAAGGGCTCTACCACTGAGCTACACCCCAGACCCAACCTGCACCTTTAAACTCCATCAGGCCTACCTCAGGAAAGGAGGAGGAGATGAGATTTGCAGTTACGTTGACTATTCTGGCCTGTGGGTTCAGGAGGGACCCGTACTTAGTCCACTTCACCTCTATAACCAAAGCCACTGGAAGCTGGCAGGAATCCTGCAAAACATAGCTCCATTAATCAATCTGAATATTACACAACTCCAAGTCAAACTTAATCTGCAGTTCAGAGTTTTAATTACAAAATGTCCCACATATTACAAAATGTTCTGAACAAGAGAATGAATAGACTCTAGAACTTCAGATAAAAACAGCTTTGAACACATATTATTAAAGTACTCCATGCTCCAAAAATAGCGTAACACCTCGCATCACCTCTGCATCCCTGCTGGTTCTGGAGAGGCCGGCAGTGCTGGGAGTTGTGGCCATCTTGCTCCTCAGTAGTGGGACATTCAGGGACTTAAGGGCATCTATATCTACCTCAGAATGTGGGAGAGAAACTAGTCAGAGGAGAGGAGGAAGGGGGAGACCATGAAGCTCCATTGCACAGCATGTTAAATGCACCTAGAGGCTACTTGGGAGACTATGGCAGGCGGATCAAGAGTTCAAGGCCAGCCTGGACAACTTAGCGAAGGCCTGTCTCAAAATAAAAAGGGCTGGGAGAGCTAAGGAAATGTGAGACTTATTCTTATTTACTTAACTCTATCATTAGCAATTAAGATGTGACATTGGGTACCCAGGCAGTGTGTGTTGTCAAAGATATTAGCAACACATCTTCTGCACTGAGAGCATGGGGGCCACAGTCCAGATGCCCTGGCTGCCTCTGCCCCAGGACCTTTGCTTGGTCAGCCCCAAGAGAAAAAGGGGCAAGTGGGCCTGCCAGACCTTTCTCCTGCCTTTAAAGTCTTTTCAGTTGGCAAATCTGATAACTATGGAAGCTGCCTGAGGGGTAGATGGGGATCCCACTGTTGTGCCATTTTCCTGTGTGTTGGAGATTTTTCCATGATAAAAACATATTTCTAACTGCATCTCTCAGGGCGTGGAGAGCTACAAGCCTGCTGAATTTGGTACCTGCTGTAAGTCCTGAATGGAATTCCTTAGCTTGGAATTGTCTTTTAGAAACCCTGCCGTCCTCACTGACATTCTGCTCTGAGGAGATGCTGCAGCAGCCGCCACTGGTGTGAACCAAGCTTGGCAGGGACCCCAGCTCCTTCCACTTGTTTTCCTGCTTAGTTGGTACAAATGTGCCCCAGCCCAGCTGAAGGCTCAGGACCCACACAGCCCCAGGCAGGGCTGCTTCCCCACGCATGGCTGCCTCTGCTCCCAGCCAGGGTCTTCCCGCTGGAGGGGCAGTAATAACTGGGTGTCTAGACCCAGCACCAAGAAGCCAGGAGCGATTTGCAGGGTTCACTAGGCAGCTGAGCTAGCCAAGGCTGAGCAGCTGAGCAGCTGAGCAGCAGGCACAAGTGATCCTGGGTCTCTGCTGAGGGAGGGTGGGGTCAGAGCTGTGAGCCTCCTCACCCCATTATGCCCATGCTATAAATATGCAAAGCGGATAATGAGAGGCCTGAAGAAATCGTGACAAGAAATAGCTGGGCAATTAGGGCAGAAGATGGGGAGCACGCCTCCATGATGCACGGCCCACACTTTGCTAAGACAAAAGAAAACAGTGGGTGGAAGAGTCACATGTGACCAGGAACCTATTTGTAGGATGTCAACTTCCATTAAACTCCTTGGGGAACTTTGGAATTGAAAGCACTCCTGTGGGCTGCCTCTATAAACCAGGGAACATGGATGGGACAGCTTTGAGGACGGAGGAAGGCTGAGACGGTCCCCATTCTGGGGAGGGCACGTGCAGTACCCACAATAATGGTACAGGTCAATCGTCCCTTATCTAAAATGCTTGGGACCCGAAGTGGTTTTTTTTGTTTTTTGTTTTTCAGATTTTGGTATATCTGCATGTGCCCGAGTGAGATTTCTTGGTGACAAGGCCCAAGCCCAAATGTGAATTTGTTTCATATACACATAGATAGACTGGAGCTGACTTCCCCCCCTCCCTACCTCCCTATCAGTACTTTGCTGGGTTGAACTCTACCCCTGGCCTACACCTCCTTTAAATTGCCTTTTACTTTAAGACAGGGACTCCATAAACTGCTGAGACTAGCCTRGAACTTGTTCTCCTCCTGTCTCCACCTCCCTAGTCACCGGGATCACAGGCATGTGTCACCATGTCTGGCAATTAGTGTGTAGGCTTCTGACTGTGACCATCACATGAGGCCAGGTGTGGAATTTGCCACTTGCATAGTAACATTGGTATTCAAAATGTTTCAGATTTTGGAGCACTTAGAATTTCTGAGTTTGGGATCAGAGATGCTCCACCTGGAGTAATAAGATGGTGACTGTCAAGGTTTCAGTTTTTTTAAAAAAGGGACTGCAAGCAGACAGACTTCAACTCCTCCCCTTTACCTTCACGTTGGACGACAGGGTGGCGAAGTGGACGGGCACCCAGTCCAGCGCATCCTGGGCCTGGGAATTTCCAAATGGGGCCACATAATCTGGGAAGCCCTGGCCCTTCAGCAGGTCCTTGACCTTCCGTGCCACTAACCGACATGGGAGGGCGCTGGTCAGTCTTTGGGAAGGGAAGGAAAAAGAGGCAACAGTCATCCACCAATTTTTAAAAGCTTCACTTTTTTTTTTTCTTTATCACTTTTGTTTTCTGATTCAGGAGTTCCTCTTGCTTTTTTCTTTCTTTCTTCTTCTTTTTTTTTTTTTTTTTTTTTTTTTTTTTTTTTTTTTTTTTTTTTTTTTTTTTTTGTGTGTGTGTGTGTGTGTGTGGTACTGGGGATTGAACCCAGGGCCTTGTGCATGCAAGGCAAGCGCTCTACCAACTGAGCTATATCCCCAGCCCCAAAAGCTTCAATGATACACATCCCTCTACAGTTTATTTTCTCACTTCCCAGAGGGAGATAATTGGACAGAAGCCAAAGTGTCCCTAACTTTGCAGAATCCTGGCCATGGAGACACTCCAAAACCACGTTTCTCAAATTGTGTTACAATTCTCTGTATGGGAAGGGTGCTATGGCCAAAAGTTGAGGACACATTGC